CCCTCACCCTGAAGGGGGGTGTGGCCAGCCTGAAAACGGCCCTCAGCCCCTCACCCAGGCTGGCCAGGCACCTGGCTGGGGCCCAGGTCAGGACTCATGCAGGAGGCAACCAATCAAAGTGTCCCTCTCACATTGGTGTTTCTCTATGTCTTTCTATCTCTCTTCCATGCTCTCTAAAAATCAATGGAAAAATATCCTCAGGTGAGGACTAAAAAAAAAGAAAGAAAGAAATGTCATATCCTATGAAAGAGACATCTTGACAATGCATAAGAAAGTTGTCATTTTTTTTTTGTGGTGACGGGAGTGGAGTCTGTGTTGATGAAAACACCTTGGCGGCTGCAGTTGCCAGCAGTGGCAGTATCAGCAGGGTGATGGGGGTGGCACCTTCCCCTGATCAGCCTGGTTGCCTCCCACAGAGGGAGGCCAGACTGCGGCTTAGGCCCGCTCCCTTCGGGAAGTGGGTCTAAGCTGTCAGTAGGACATCCCCTGAGGGCTCCCGGATTGTGAGAGGGCACAGGCCGGGCTGAGGGACGCCCCCCCCCCCCCCAGCACAAATTTTTGTGCACCGGGCCTCTAGTACTTGTATATAAAGATTTCTAGTACCAAGAATTAACCCATCAGATGCAACCTTATTATGCAATGTGACCAATAAGATGCAACTCTATTATATGACCTATATATATGGTTCAAGACAGGGCATTCACACCGGATGGCTATTGTTGTGTTGCCTGTTGTCATTTTGTTTATTTGGCAATCTAAAGCAGGGGTCCTCAAACTTTTTAAACAGGGGGCCAGTTCACTGTCCCTCAGACTGTTGGAGGGCCGGACTATAGTTTTAAAAAAAAACTATGAACAAATTCCTATGCACACTGCACATATCTTATTTTGAAGTAAAAAACAAAATGGGAACAAATACAATATTTGTATTTGCATGTGGCCCACGGGCCGTAGTTTGAGGACCCCTGATCTAAAGCAAAATAGGTCAGTGCCCCTGACTAAATAGTCAGGTATTACATGTTTTAAAAATTCTTGTAGCACATCGGTTGAAAATTGCTGATCTCTAAATGTATTAACTTTAAAATTTCTGATTTTTTTTAGTATCAAATTATACTTCTGTAATTTTGTTAGTGTTAAGTTACACTTTTTAAAAAATGTATTTTTTTATTGATTTCAGAGAGGAAGGGAGAGGGAGAGAGAGATAGAAAATCAATGATGAGAGAGAATCATTGATCCATTGCCTCCTGCACACCCCACACTGGGAATCAAGCCCAAAACCCCGGAATGTGCCTGACTGGGAATTGAACCGTGACCTCCCCACGCTGGCCGGGCAAATTACACTTTCTTTTGTGCTAGTGATAGTAGATGGTCTTGGGGATTTTTAATGTCATGACAAAATAAAATAGTGGTAACCCTGTGACATTCCCAACCTCTGTTACACAGTGTATTGGTTTGTGAAAGCCCAAAGTATTGGGGCTCCCTGGATGAGATGCTGTCACGAGGTCCTCAAGCTCTGGAGCCCTGAGTCCCCAAGAGCTGGATGGGAATGGGGATTTCCCCAGAACATGGTGCTGGCTCACCTGTTGGCTTGTTCTCAGATCAGACCTGTAACTTAAATCCTTGCCCACCATCCCCTTTGGCCCAGGCCATGGGCCCCACCTGCTGAGCAGGATTCTGATGGGGGCGAGGACAGTGTGCCAACATTTGAGATGTATATTCTTTCCCTTTTAGTGGCTCCCGGGAGCACAGTAGGGATACATGCAGCCTTGGGACAGACAGAGAGAACTGAGACCCACCCCTCCCATTTGAGAGTCTAGACTAGCCAAGGGCAGTGACACCTGCTCAGGCCAAGGGAGGGGCTGAGCCTGTAATTGCACAGGAGGGAGGAGTCAGAGAGGGCTTTTCTGAGGCCTCGTCCATCTTCTGGAATTTGGAAGATTTGGCCAGGAGCCCAAGCCTGATGAGGTGTCACCTAGTCTGCTCAACCAAAGAGTCTGCAGGAGGTGAGACCTGGCCCAGGCAGTGTCCCTGAGCCAGAGAGCTGGGGCAGGGGCAGGGGCAGGCTGGGCCCTAGGGCAGCTCTGTGAGGTTTGTCCCCAAGCACATTTCACCATCCCCGTGAGGGGCTCTGGGGTAAAGCCAGGGACACAGGTCTTGATTGGGGAGGGAGGGGGTTCAGATGATCAGGGGGCATTTGGCTTGGCTGGTGGGAGGAGGGGACAGGAAGTCCCATCTGGCCTTGGATTGAAAGCCTTATGGGAGATGGGAAAGAGGAACCCACCCCCACCCCAGTCCCATTATCCTCACCCTCACTCCCCACACTCTGACTGTGAACCTGCTTCTTTCTCTGGTGCAGTGGAGCAGCTACACCCCGGGGCAGAGGTGGCTTTTTCTGAGCCTTATCTGTGAAAGGGGGATTGCAGTGAGTCCTTAGGGAGTGAAGGACCTTTGTTTGGGGGTTAGAGGGGAGTGACTCATAGGCTTGTGGGTAAGCACCTCTAGGACACATAGACCATGAGAATAGTCATGGTTACAGATAGGGAGACTGAGGCTTAGGGAAAGGAAGGGACTTGTTCAGTGTGCATGGGTTTTAGGGGGGTGTCTGCCCAGAGTATGGAGAAGCACTCTCTTCTGGAGTATGGCCTGGAACTGATGCTGGCTACAGAACTCAATAGTGTGTGCCCTCGAGCTGTTAGGGCACCTCCCTGGGCCTCAGTTTCTGTACCTGTGAAATGGGGTGATAACAGAGGTGAACCAGGGCTGTTGTGCAGAAGGCGCCTAGCTCATGGAAGGCACTCGGGGGGTTCCTATTGCCCAGAGCCCTCCAGGCATAGCTTCTTTGCTTCTTCACCTCTCTGCCGAGAGCACTATGCTAACTCTCTTTGCTTGGTGAGAAGGTTAGTGCTGGAGTCTGATGGCCAGGCTGGGATGGTGCTTGGGTGGGTGGATGGATGGTTGGAGAGGGGCAAAGGCTGCCCACCTGCTGGGACTGACCTAGTGCCCACAGCTTGGTCATTCACCATGGGATAGAGTGGTCTCTGTCTACCGGCTAAGGGGCAGGTCAGTGAGGGCAGGGAGTAGGGCCTCTCCTTTCCCCACATGACAGTCAGCTGGAACCATGAGGGCCCTGGACGGAGGATGTGAGGTAAAATGATGCCTCCGCAGGAGCTGGCCTGGGGGACCTATGGCTGGGACCTGAAGCCAGTCATAGAATGAGGGGCGTGCCCTTTGGGGCTGTGCCCAGCCCAAGGCCACAGCAGAGCTGGCGGATTATGGGAGGCCCCTCAGGCAGACAGTTTCCTGCCAGGTAGCCAGGCGGGCTTCCTAGCACATAGGAGGAGGTGTCAGGGGGCCTGTTGCCCTGCTGCTCTGGGGCTTGTGGGTAAGGCTGAGCTGACGGTCAGAGCTGACCATACGCAGGTTCCTCAGTGAAGTTGTTAGCAGGGTTTTTTTCTCTCAGGTTTAGTTGGACTTTAATCAATTTCTCTTGGAGAATAGGCGCCTTTGCTGTGTTCTCATCAGGCCTCCAGCAGAATTCTCCCTCTGGGCAAACGCCCCAGCAGGGCCCGGGTGGGAACATGTCACCAGACTGGGCAGTCATGGGTGCCCACCGGCTCCTCAGAGCTGTGAGCTCCAAGGAAAGAGTAGACGTTAAAGGGCTTCTGAATCTGAACAGCTGCCCACACAGGAGAGCAGGGAGCATGGGCTGCACTTCAAAACAGACTCGGAGATGCCCCAGGCTGGAGGGAGAAAGGATGCCGGTCATCCTCCAGGGCACCCCTTTTTGTCTGTGGGGAAACGGAGGCCCAGAGACACAGTACACAACCGTGAGAGCTGGCAGACTCTGAAGCCCTTGAGGAGTGACATTCTCTAGCATTTTAGAGACCTTCACCTTCCCTTTCTCAGAGATGCTGCAGTCCTGGTGACAACCTGCACTTTCTGCCAGAGAGTGGCAGGGTGCAGCGGGCACTGGGGGAACTGGACACACTGCCCAAGGGCCAGGCTGGGAGCAGTCTGGCAGTTCCCATTCTGGGCTAGAAGGGACCCTGGGGGCCAACTCCCCCCCCCCTCACCCCCACTTACCTCCTCTGCCTGAGTCCCCTGAGTGGTGACTATGCCCTCTCATACTTAACCCTGCTCTGTTCAGGTGGAGGCTTGGACTGACTAGGTTCAAATCCTGGCCATGCCACTCACTACCTGTGTGGCCGTGGGCAGGCTGCTGGTGCCTGCAGTCTTGGATCCTTCTGTAATAGGAGGAGGAGATGGCCTCCTCATAGAGTGATTGGAGGACTCGGTGAGGTCACGTGCACACTGCAGGCGCTCAAGGTCCAGCCCCTTCTTTGGGTGCATGGGTGTTTTTCCAACTCTTGCAAGCTTAAGAAATTTTATGGCCAGGAGTTGGATGTGGTTCATGTTTGTGTTTCCACAACACCTAGCACACAGTAGGTGCCTTGCCTTCTCTGTACATTTATAACCTCTGTTTTTACTCTGTGTGTGAGTGTGTGTGTGTGTGTGTGTGTGTGTGTGTTGGGGGGGTGCCCTCCTGTGTGTCAAATTTCCTGAGGACAGCCTGGCACGCAGTACAGTGGGGCCTTGACTTACGACTGTTCCGACTAACGAGTTTTTCGAGATACGAGCCGTCTCTCGGCCGATTTTTTGCTTTGAGTTTCAAGCTAAAATTCGGGTTACGAGCCAGCTTCAGATACCCCACCGCTAGTTGGCGCAGCGAACGTCACAGTGAATGCCACATCAGCCCAGCATCACGTGTCTCACTCATTCACTTTAATGATTTGACATACGAGTAATTTGAGTTACGAGCTCCGTCACGGAACGAATTAAACTCTGGATGCGCCCGGCCACTGTATTTGCTGACATCTGTGTTGACTGCTAGAGACACCACCCAACCCCCACCGTCCAGGCAGAAATGCCACCACTGCTCCCCTCTGCCACCCGCTTCCCCAGCCTGAATAGCTAACATCCTGTGCCCTGTGCTTGCCCCACAGACGCCAGCATGTCTCCAGATGCCACCAAGCCGAGCCACTGGTGCAGCGTGGCATACTGGGAGCACCGAACGCGTGTGGGCCGCCTCTACGCGGTGTACGACCAGGCCGTCAGCATCTTCTACGACCTACCTCAGGGCAGCGGCTTCTGCCTGGGCCAGCTCAACCTGGATCAGCGCAGCGAGTCGGTGCGGCGGACGCGCAGCAAGATCGGCTTCGGCATCCTGCTCAGCAAGGAGCCTGACGGCGTGTGGGCCTACAACCGCGGCGAGCACCCCATCTTCGTCAACTCCCCGACGCTGGATGCGCCCGGCGGCCGCGCCCTCGTCGTGCGCAAGGTGCCACCGGGCTATTCCATCAAGGTGTTTGACTTCGAGCGCTCGGGCCTGCTCCAGCACGGGCCCGAGCCCGACGCCGCCGACGGCCCCTACGACCCCAACAGTGTCCGCATCAGCTTCGCCAAGGGCTGGGGGCCCTGCTACTCCCGGCAGTTCATCACCTCCTGTCCCTGCTGGCTGGAGATCCTGCTCAACAACCACAGATAGCAGCAGCCGCGAGGCCCGGCCAACCTGCCCACCGCCAGGAGGGCCAGTGCCAGAGACACAGCCCCCACGGACGAAACCCCCCAAATATCATCTACCTAGATTTAATATAAAGTTTTATATATTATATGGAAATATATATTATACTTGTAATTATGGAGTCATTTTTACAATGTAATTATTTATGTATGGTGCAATGTGTGTATATGGACAAAACAAGAAAGACGCACTTTGGCTTATAATTCTTTCAATACAGATATATTTTCTTTCTTTTCCTCCTCCCTCTTCTTTTTTTTTTTTTTTAAGAAAATGATACAGCAGAGCTAGGTGGAAAAGCCTGGGTTTGGTGTATGGTTTTTGAAATATTAATGCCCAGACAAAATGCTAAACCAGTCACTCATTGATAATAAAGTATTCGCATTCTAGGTTTTTTTTTTTTTAACTGTCTTCTTTTTAACAAAGAGGGACATGCATGGTATTAGTGGGTTTCTGACCCATCAGACATCCTGAAATTTGATCCCTTTACCAGATAAAGAGTAGAGGGGATAAACTAAAAAGGGAGGAAGGGCATGTTTACTCTTAAGACCACAGGAGTTCTGCTGTTCCTTCTTACCCACGGCTGTGGTGTGTCCACAGGATGGGAGGAGGAGGGAAAGGGGAGAGTATTTGGGCCCCATCCCAGACTGATGATGGAGGCTCCTGCTCTGGCCTAGAGGAACTTCCAGTCTGATGGTGGAGACTCAGGCCCACGCCTCCCGTCTCTGAGCCATGCACAAGCTAGAAGAAAGCACTACATCTCACTCAGAGGGAAAAGCAGGCAGTGGGCCGTAGGCTCACCTACCACCACGCAGAACCCAGGGTGACGCTCCTCTTAGGGCCTCCCAGGCTGCCCTCCCACCCACTCTGAGTAGCTCAGCATCGGCCCATCTGAGGCTACATTCATGAGTTATGCAAAGGCAGGTGGTTTTTTACTCTAACAGGGAAGAGTTGAGGTTCTGGAAGGGTCAGTGGCTCACTCATGAGGCAGATCTAGGTTAGAAGTTGCATCTCACTGTAGGACCAGAGCCATATTACATCAGTTTTCTCTGATGAAGAAAATTCAGAAAGGAAAGCCTCCTTGGCCAAAGAGTGAAGGGGAATGTTAACGTTATATAGTATATCTTTCCTGGAGATTTACATCAGCATAGCAAATGCTCTGAGAAGTCCTGTGGCTTCTCTGTTGCTGCATCATAAATTATCCTAAAACTTTGCAGCTTGAAACAGCTAACATTTATTATCTCATACTGTTTCTGCTTCAGGAATGTGGGAGCAGCTTAGCTGGGTGGTTCTGGTTTAGGGTTCCGTGCAGTTGCAGTAATCCGAGGTTTAGGGGGGTCTGCAGGACCCATTTCCAAGCTTATTCCCGGGGCTGTTGGCTGGAGGCCTCAGTGCCTCACCATGGAAGCCTCTGCATTTGGCCACTCAGGACATGGCTTCCCCCAGAGCACATGGTCCAAAAGAGACCAAGAGCAAAGCTGTCACCTCTTACAACCTTATCTCGGAAGTGACATCCCATCACTCCTGCACATTCTGTTGATCACACAAGCCATTCTTGCTAACGTGGAAGAGACTACACAAGAGTGTGAATGCCAAGAGGTGGGGATCATAGCCACTGTGTCCAAAAAAAAGGATCATTTCACTTTGTTTCTTGAAGTGATTTGCCAGTAGACTCCCCACCCGTTACTCCTGTCCCCATACGAAGGCCCGGGAGTACCTGTGGGCTGGTTGTTCACTGCTGACAGCTGGACAGGCCAGGGCACCTCACTGAACCCTGCCCTGAAGACGCTCCTCTGGGATGCCTGCCTCACTGGGGTATCCTCAGTGTGGGGTCCGTGGAGGCACCTCAGGCTCAAACAGTAGGATCCCCGGGAAGACCGAATAAGGAGCCAGATCCGTGGGAGTGCGGAGGGAAGGGAGCGGGGGCCTCCCAGGAAGTCTCAGTGCTTCACCTCTGATCCTTGACGGGCTAGGAGTGGCAGAGGGGGCAGGAGCAAAGGGGCAATACCATAGGAATGGCAGAAACCAGGAGGCATCCACTGTGTAGATGAGGCAGGAGAAAGGAGTCTTCAGACACTGCACCTCCCAGGCCTTGGTCCTCGTGCCTGCATTCCAATTCCAGCTCTACCATTTACAGAGTGGCTTCAGAGAATTCTTAAGGTGCCTCGGTGTTCAGGGGATAAAATTCCCACCTGAGAAGTAGGTGTGAATTGGAAGAATCAAGCACATCACATCATACCTGGTTCATCGTAAGTGCCTATCATCTGTTACTAATATAGGGCCAGGGCTGGAAGGGAGGCTGGGGGCCCACAAATGCTAAGATAAGGAGAATAGTTGGCATTCAGGAGGCAGATGGGCTGGTTTCTGAGTGGGCCAGTGAGCTGATGCGAGCTAAACTAAAGGGATTTCCCAGAGGAGGGCCAGGCTGCAGGCAGGAATAGGTCACCTGAGCCCTGAACCCTTTCTGGCTCATTACGACAGTGCCCATTAATGCCAGTCTCCTGACAGAGACTCCTTACCCTTCAAGGCAGCAGCCAGTCACACCCAATGCCTCGGCATGGAAGTGATAACTCCCCTTCATCCGAGAGCAATAGGGATGGAGCTTAACACTCCCATTTTATAGACGAGAAAGCTGAGGCCTGAAGTGGGGAAGTGCTTATCTTGAGCCAGGTCATCATGGGTGCTGGGATGTGAGCAGGTTTCCTGCTTCCTGCAACACGGTCTACTTCATGCAGACCAGATGGTGACATCCCTTACCCATCTCCCAGATTCTCAGAGGTGCCCACCAGGCAGATGACATTGTTTCCATCTAGAGTTAAGCCTCTTGGACCACACTGTTTATCATAGAAAACTGTCCTGGTTCCCCTGCCAGCCCAGACTCCTTTCACTCCTTCCCTCTGCCACCCTTGGGCCTGGCCCTCCTGGGAGGCGCAACTCCCTCTGCTGTTCTGCACCTCCCAGGCCTTGGTACTCGAGCCTGAGCAGAGCTGGGCTGTGCTACTTGGGGATGGGCTAGGAGTCACTGAATTTTTTTCTCTTTTCAAGTCGATAATTAATGACACTAACCATTTGTGAGCCCTTCCTATGTGCTAAGGGTCTTTTATGCACCTAATCTTCACAAGAACCTCTGTGCAGTGTTCTCAGTTATTCCCCTTTTCAGATGGAGAAACTGATACTCAGTTGCTGTCATTTGGGCTCCTATGTGCTCGCTGTGATTGGCTCTGCTGGAGTGGCCTGTGCCTTGGGGACAGTCTGCGCTGCAGGGCTAACCTCAGGGGACCCAGAGCCATCAACCTCACAGCTATTTTGCCTCCCAGACCTGCCCTTTGAGGACTGGACCTCCCTGGGGTCCGTGGGTGGCCTCAAGTGTCAGGGAGAGGCCCTGTGGCTGCCTTTCTTCATGGGGGTCTGAGAATCCAGTTCCAGCCCCTCAGTTTACAGATGGGGAAACCAAGTCCCAGACAGGAGAGGCTGAGTTACTGTCACAAGTGGTGGCAGGACCTGCCCTCCTTCCCCCTCGCCCAGGCTTGGTGCCCCTGGTAGCACCCACATAGCTGGTGACTCGGGCTCCGAAGGAGACACTTTCTAAGCAAGGCCTGGCCTCGGGAGTGTTGTGGAGCCCGGTCCCTGCAGGCTCTGGGAAGCAATGTGGGTGGGGCTTACTGCCCCAAACGCAAACTCAGGCCTAGAGTGGGGGTTGGAGGGAGGAGGCAGGATATTCTGCAATTGACTAGGTTTTTGGAGAAGGGTTAGCCCATCACCTCCTCTCCATTCCACAGTGCACCCCATCTCCAGCCCCGCCCCCCGCCTTAGTCTCCTGGAGTGTCTGGGGTGTGGGAGTGGAGGGGTTAATCTAGGAGTGGGAGAAGCATAGCTGAGAGAGGGAACTCTGCAGATCTGTGTTTATGCCTCATGTGAGAAAACTCTAGGCCCAGAGAGGGGTGTGAGTAGCCCAAGGTCACACAGCAAGTTTAGGGCAGAGCTGGACCTAAAGCTTAGCTCTTGGGGTTTCCGGTCTGGGTGCTTCCTCTGTCTGGGCACAGATTCCTCCGGTGCTCTGGAGGATGTGCACATACATCTCTTCACCTCACCCGTCCCCCACGCACATTTCAGGGGCCTTAAACATTCTGAACACCTCTGGCTGCAGCTGCCTGATTATAATCCTGACTTTGCAACTGGCCAGCTATGTGATCTTAGGCATGTTAGGTTACGTAACCTCTCCGTGCCGCAGTTTCCTCATCTGAATAATAATAAGAGCATCTACCTCTGAGGTTCTTGGGAAGATTAAATGAATTCAGCATGTTACGCACTCAGAACTGGCATGTAGGAAGCATTCAGGAGTGCCGGAAGCTGGTCCATCCTTGCTGCTTGACACAGTCGCTGCAGGAAAGAAACATCTGCACAGCATATGTTTCAAGGGACCTGGCGTATATAGCATACTGTTCTTAATATGTTTGCTCCCCTTAGCGCTATGTGTTTTAACCAAGGTCACCTCTCCGAGAAAGGTTGTTTCCCCAGGTAGGGATTTTTCCCTGAAGTTAGGGAGGGGATACAACCCCTTAACTAAGTGCCAGGCGGGTAGTTAATCACTTTAACTACAAACAATCACGCTTAAGCTACATAATCTTTACTCCCTGGAATGGAGATAAGAAACGCCCTAACCTTTGCAATAGAAATTGACAGGATTAAAACCGACTGGTATAAATACAGATGTAACAAGACAATTCAGTTCCTAACCAGAACTCGCCCAGAACTTTGGCTGGAGATCCTGGCTAGAGGTCCTGGCTAGGCTGCTGATCAACTGAAGGCTGTCTTTGTGTCATTACTTCTTCGCCGACTCTGTCCACACCTTTGGGGACCCCTGGACCCGCTGGGGTCGGACCCCAGCATCTGGCGAGTGCGCAGAAGGGGCCGCAGAGGAGCCAGAGCGGGCCTGGATTCAGAGCCGGAACCGGAGCCGGAGTCGGAGTGGGGTTGGGGCAGGCGGGCACCATGCTGTCACCCGAGGCGGAGCGGGTGCTGCGGTACCTGGTGGAAGTGGAGGAGCTCGCCGAGGCGGTGCTGGCGGACAAGCGGCAGATTGTGGACCTAGACACCAAGAGGAATCAGAACCGAGAGGGCCTGAGGGCCCTGCAGAAAGAGCTCAGCGTCTCTGAAGATGTGATGGTTTGCTTTGGGAACATGTTTATCAAGATGCCTCACCCTCAGACGAAGGAAATGATTGAGAAAGATCAGGATCATCTGGATAAAGAAATAGAGAGACTCCGGAAACAACTTAAAGTGAAGGTCAACCGCCTCCTTGAGGCCCAAGGCAAACCGGAGCTGAAGGGTTTTAACCTGACCCCCCTCAACCAGGATGAACTTAAAGCTCTCAAGGTCATCTTGAAAGGATGAAATTCAAGAACCAAGATAAGGGGCCTGAAACCAGCACCCCCTGGGATCATGTAGGACCCAGAACTCTCCAGCTTTGAAACCTGCAAGGACAGGATCTACCCTGCAAGGCCTCAGGCATCAGCAACCTGGCCATGGCTCCTGTTTGCAGCCTCTTTATCTAGATGAAGAAGATCCACTTGGACCTAATTGCTATTATGACAAAACTAAATCCTTCTTTGATAATATTTCTTGTGATGATAATAGAGAATGGAGACCAACCTGGGCTGAAGAAAGAAGATTAAATGCTGAAACATTTGGAATCCCACTTCGTCCAAACCGAGGCCATGGGGGGGTACAGAGGCAGAGGAGGTCTTGGTTTCCTTGGTGGCTGAGGCCGTGGTGATGGTAGAGGTGGTACCTCCACCACCCCTCAAGGATTTTGTGGTGGATTCAGAGGAGGTCGTGGGAGCAGGGAATTTGCAGATTTTGAATAGAGGAAAGACAACAAAGTTGCTGCATAGTCTACAAACAAGTCTTTGGAAATAGGTGAATTAACCTAAAGCCCTCATCAATAGAGAGACTTACAGGAACATGGAAGGGACCTGATGTACTTTTAACCTGGGGAAGAGGATATGCTTGTATATTTCCACAGGACGCAGACTCACCTGAGTGGATTCCAGACCGTCTAGTCCAACCTTATGTCTCACCGCCCCCCGTCTCCGCCTCACCCTAGCACACCTGACCAGTGCCCATTTGCAGCAGATGTGCAGCCCTGAGCTGGAACAACCTGTCCATTGGGAGGATCACATGTGCCTCCTTTTTGTCTTTCCATATGTCCCAGCTTTGCCCCACATCTCCTTTCCTTTTCCTTTTTCTTTCTTTTTTTAAAAATCTAACTACTTGTTTGGGGGTTCTTTGGCCTTTATCCTTCTCTCCTGAACACAGCCTTTTCTAGAATCTCCCTACCCTACTGTTCCAGGAAGGGCACCTCCCTTTTCTGGGAGTGTCTGGTATATGCCCCATACATGGAGTTGTCTTGTGCCAAGAGCCTGACATCCTGGG